AAAAAAAAAAAAAAAATATATATATATATATATGATTTATTTATTTATTACTGGAGTAATTGCTGCTGAAAATTCAGCTTTGCCATCACAGGAATAAAATATATTTTAGAATATATTAACAAAGAAAGCAGTTATTTTGAATTGAAATAATATTTCACAATATTACTGTTTTTACTGTATTTTATCAAATAAATGCAACCTTGGTGAATATTAGTGACATCTTAAAAAAATATCGTAATTATTTCAAACTTTTGGCTCCAGTGTATATATAATTTAATATTATTTTTTTTTAAATCATTTTATTCATTATAATTGTGTATTTTATATTACATCATTTTATTATCAATATTTATCAAACTATTTATGTATATACACACACATATAATACATTTTTGTAATATTTATTTATTATAATTTATATCATATTATAATTGTAACATCATAATACTTTTTCATATATACATATTAAAATCTTGTTATACATAAAAAATGTAAATGTAAAAATGATAACTCATATAGAAGCAGATAGCTCTAAAAAAATGACCTCTACTTTCTCCCCCATGTCAAAAAAATGACACACAGTGAAACACAAGGCGAAAAACATAGTTAATTAAAATGCAGATTAAAAGAACCATCACAAATTAAAAATAGGAATTGTTATACGAAAAAAAAGTATTTTGTCTGTATCAGTAGGATTTTATAATTAAAAAACTAACTTTTAACTAAACGTTTTTGCAGCTATATGGGTCAAGTTTTTGTCTCCATAGTAATGTTCAAAATAAATGAACATCTTTTTTAATGTAACTAAAAATACACTTCCCTTATTTTACATCCGGATTATGTAACCACATTCCAAATATTCCATCATTCCCCCAAGCCTGCATCAGCTGACAGAAGGTTGGATCGACAGGGAGGAAGTGATCTTTCAGCCCCACAGGGACTGTTTCTCTCTCTTTCTTACTCTTCCTTGCAGTTTCCTCCTCCTATCACAATTACTTTTTATTTTTCTCATTCATCAATGCTCTTGCTTTCTCTTCACACCACCACTGTAAACCTCTCCCGCTCTGTCTTTCTCCACACCGTATATCAAAACGGGGTAGGGCTCCAGAAACAAGCTGGAGGCAGTATAATGAGATCGAGATGTGATGGCATATTGCTCAATCTCCATGACAGGAAACAGCTGAAAAAGTGAACACAGCCTTCCAAACGTTGAGTGATCTGTCTTCTGGACACTTCATTAGCTTTTTCAGAACAAGTGTTTTCCACTTGTAAAGTCCCTGTGCGAAGGGAAAAACTATGCTTGTGTCTTTTGGCAAAGGATAGTGAATATGGACAGCGAGCAGGTGGATGTAGCCAAGAGGCAGCAGTTGTAAGCATGTTGGGTTAGTTTCCTGTGTTGTGCCTGTTGCCCAGACTGCTCCGGCCTGAGCCGTTTTCTCACATGACGAGTGTGTGACAGCTGGACATAGAGCTTATCTCCCCTGGCCCATCTCCCTCTACGGACAGTAAATCAGATCCATACTAAAAAGCCTGCTTGGAGAACATTTCCTTACAGGCCCAAATAATATTGTATATATTTACATATTTTTCTGCTTTTAAATGTTAAAAGTGTGATTTCTGCACCACCTGCTATTGGACATTGGTCAAACAAACCGAGAGTTCCACCTCAAACTCACGCCATTGGCTGAACCAGTGTTGCTGTGTTGGACTGTTCGGGTTTGTCAAACAAACTATGTATGCAGTGTACGTTGCATTTACAGTTTTTTTGAGAAATCAGCCCAAAAAAGGAAAACTCACAGTTGAGTCTGCATATTAAGCTGAGATATGAGAAAATATTTAAACAAACAAAAAATATTACACAAATCATCAACAATATTTTAAAAATAATAACTAATATTCTAATATAATGTAGTACACACACACACATAAATATGTACTATATTATATTGTGCATTAAATATTTATATTATAAATATTTTGCAAATTTATGTATTATTTTGATAAACAATAATCTGATTACAAATATAGCTGGCAATACAAAAGTTTGAGGTCAGTAAGATTTTTTAAAAGAAATTAATATTTTTCTTCAGCAAGGATGCATTTAATTCATCAAAAGTGACAGTAAAGACAGAAAAGTGCTGTTCCTTTAAACTTTCTGTGCATCAAATATTGTACTTATCAAATACGTATCACTGTTTTCACAAAAGTAATAAGCATTGCAACCATTGTCAACATTGATAATAATAATAAATGTTTATTGAGCCGCAAATCAGCACATTAGAATGATTTCTGAAGGATCATGTGACACTGAAGACTGGAGTAATGGCTGCTGAAAATTCAGCTTTGACAACACAGGAATAAATTACATTTTTAAATATATTAAAAAAGAAAACTGCTATTTTAAATAGTAATAATATTTTTTAATTGTTTGTTTAAATGTTTTAAACGTTATTATAATTATAACATTAAATTTATATAAAAAATATTTTTTATTATGTATTTCTGATTAAATAAATACCGGCGAACTTAAGAGACCTTTTTGAAAAACTTTTTAAAAAGTCTTACAGACCCCAAACTTTTGGACGGTAGTGTATATGGTATGGTATATTTTCATTATATTTACTATTACTATTTATTCTCATTTAGCTTTTTTTAAACCAAAGCAATTTACAGTACACTACTTGACGTGAACATCTCCCTGAGGCAATACTTTTTTTTCATTAACACCCTAGTTAATACGTTTCCCTTGCATGATGTTGTTCAAATAATTTGTTTAACACATCCACATCCTTAACCACAACCACAATTGTATACCAGCACTAGGCCAATGTGATTAGCTAGCAGCTAATATTCAAACACAGAACGTGTTTTACTTACAGCAGATTCTGTGATTTTCCTCCACAGCTTAGCTTCAGCTGCCCTGAATTGCAACGTGTAAAAAAATGTTAGCGGCAGCTGATGTTGGCGAAATACAAATAGTGTGGTCAGTTGGGTGAGGCGGAGTTAAAATTAAACACGAAACTCTGTCATTACAGGTCAAGGGAGAGCGACAGCGGAGCCGAAGCCAGCATCCCAGCCTAGTTCTGTTGCATGTTTGCGGTGCTGAGACTGACCCATGCTGAGCTTGTGGTCGAGCCTGCTGGGACATCAGTCTGGCTTCAACTCAGACGAGCTTTTGAGAAAACACAGACCCAAATGACTAAAGTCAATGTAATTTCAGAGAAGAGGATGTTTATGAAAAATCTAAAAATCTGACATGTTCTGCAGTAATCCTCACGAAAAGCCGGGAAGGAAAAGAAGGATTGAAGGATGAAGATGAAATATTGAGGGCAAAGAAGTTGTTTTGATTTAATAACCATCTTGTGCTCTCTGGTGCAAAAAGGTGCATTATGGTTATTAAGATGGCTACATCTTCTTGAACACCCGCTGCTACCCTCATGTTTTTATTTATGGACAACAGTAATTATCAGCAGGCTTGATTAATTATGTCTAAACAATATGCTCCTCGCACACATGCCACAAGGGCTAATTATTCTAACAAACAGGATGGGCTGGGACAATTGGAGGATATCAGCAGTAGTCATAACTGTATGAACGTAGCAGCTGAAAATCTCAACGGCTTTAAATGTCATAGACGTAGTAAAAACATGAGCTTTCCGTGCCACAATGCCTGGCTATTCATTCCCAAGCCCCTCCTCTCTTTTATCTTCCCCAAATTAAGTTATATACATTTTGTTGTATGACGCCACGGAATGAGTTATGAGAGCCTGTCAAAAGGGCCGAGATTCCTGCCATTTTTCCGTCCCCTCCCGGTTTCCCTGCTCTTTCAACTCCACTGCAGGGGTGGACGCTTCATTCATGTCACATGGCGCTCTCATAATGGCACAAAAATCAAATGAAAAATCTATTCAGATTCTAAGGCCAGTTGTACGTGTTAGTTTTCTTCAAAAGCCTCATCTTGTAAAAACCTATTACTGCTCTGACACAGATTTGATAGCTTTGTTGAATCTTAACCACTTCTTGGTATCCTGGGATCTAATTAAAAAGACAATTACCACGCTCAACATTAAAATGCTGTGATGATCCGGAATCACCTGTGATAGCTGAGATGCCTAACTGCAATCACAAGGTCTGATCTACTGCCTTCAATATACAGACTACATGGGCCTATTGCCGATGATCCATTCTTACATAAAGTAATAAAAAAATTATGAAGTAAAAATAATAATAAATGTGTATATATTTCTCACTGAAATACACTTGCATTGCAATGCAATTTTATATACATGTTGACGATCAATTCTTGCATAAAATAATACAAAAAAATCATATAATGTGTATATATTTCTCACTGAAATACACTTGCATTGTCAATGCAATTTTTTTAATGCATTTCACATGATTTTATTTAATAATTCAAAATATTCAAGTTTTAAAAAAAATATTTAACAGTAGGACTTCTATATTAATCATACTTATTTTGTTTTCATTCAGCACAATTTACATTCATATATTATTTTTGATTTTATATATTTTAAATGTTTTACCTTTATAACTAACCTTTATATAATTTTGCATCTACGATTTATTTTTATATTTAAATATATATTTAATTTATATTATTTAAAGTTGAAATCACTGGATATCCATCATGTGGATAATTAAATTTAAGTTTAAATTTAATTAAGATTTACCAAATGCTACATTTGCACGTTTATTCTACTACTTTCGCTTATTTTTACATTATATCACGAGTAAAGGTCGGATTGAGTGCGTTACCTGTTATTATCGCGTTGGTCCCTCGTTATGGCTGCATCCTCATCATCATCCGCCGATACTGAACGCTTTCTTCTATTCTCTCTCTGTCAAAAGCCCTGCTTGTTTTCACTAGCACAATATTACGTGATGCAATAACACTCATGCCACATAGTCCACCCCTGAACCGCACAGAGGACACCTCGGCTATCTTCAAACCCCCCTCTCTCTCTCTCTCAACCTCCTCGCCTCTGAAGCGCGTGTCTTCTCGCTTTACCAGCTCCTACAACCCGATCGAGTTACAGAGCGACTCGCGGAAGCATTCGCGTAATCTCACACCTCCTCCCGCGTGCCCTCCCTCTCTTCCCACTCTTTAATGATACAGAAGAAGATTTGGGCAAATATTAATATTCCATTGCGGGCTACAATTAGCCTGAGGCTGGTTTGTTTGAGTTACCGGCTTCCAGACAGTAATAGCTCATCATAAGAGGCGTTCCTCCGCTATAATAATGTGGGTTTCCTACCTTAATTGCGCGTCAGATCGTGTGGATGAATGAGATGAGACTGCCGCCTGTATATGTAGTCATTAAGCACACTGAACGCCAGCAGCCACGTTAATATTTTAGCAACCTGGTGGATGAGAGCTGTCGCTGCCTTGTGTATGAAATATGACAAGGAAACAATGGTCGCAGTGCACTTGGGGTGGGTTGCGCGCGGCCGCATATTGAAGTTACCCGGAAATAGCGTGATATTGATTATTACAAAAACATATGAAATCATAAGCTATGAAATTAATAAAAACATAAGGCTATGCAGAGGCACAATGCAACACCGTTATATTCTGTATGACAGTACCTCACCCTGAACTTCAGCAGACGCTCAGTGGTGCACTCCGCCAATCCCGTTCAATCGCACCCAAATCACAGCGTTCAGAATATGATCCTTTTTTCTGTCGCTACTTCTACACACACATAGCCTACAGTTGATGCGTATAGATAGCATCCGTCACAGCATCATTTTATGGGGCTACATTGTTCATTTTCTCGCATCCACAACATTCCAGTCGACCCCGCCCCCGGCGCTCGTGATTGGCTCAGAGACTCGGGGTGCCTTCGCACGAGCTATATTTAAAGTAAACAGGCGCACATCTGGCCAGCGGTGCGCGTCACTGTCGCCGGAGGTCGCGAACTGACGCTGTGCGGTAAACCAGAAAAGACCGTCACGACTTGAAGGTTGACAAACTACTTATCCTAGTTAAAAAAAAAAGAGACTAGAGATGGGAATCGTAATCTGAGTTCAATTAATGATTCCTTGAACGGTCTCATTAACGATTCTTTCAGTATTTTTGCCCCATAAATATTTGGAAAAACGAAATGCATTTCTTATGGCCTTGTAGGGTCTATTGCCAAATTTGAACAGATTTAAACAGAACATATATCCAATAACAAATCGGAGATGTTTCATTTTTGCAATAAGTTTGTGCTTTTAATGACTTTTAATAGGCATTTTAGAGAGGACATAAACGTATAGGCTATATATACGTATGGCGTATATACACATATATATATATATATATGTGTGTGTGTGTGTGTTTATATCTATTTCATATCCAATATATATATATATATATATATATATATAGGATATGAAATAAATATAAACACAGTGAATTCATTAATTTTTATAAAATACCACTGATTACATAAAATCTCATAATGTCGAGAACTCAAACTGGAGTTCGGTAAGGCGTTATGTTTCCTATTCAGTAAAAAGAATCTGCTCATAAGATTCATTCATTGGGAAATCGCGCGCTACACTGGTCGCGCTGTAAATTCAGTAGCAGAGTCGCTGAATAGAAGTGTTTGGTCTGCAGCACCTGAAGAATTCACGCTCCAGAACTGAACGGTCAACTGTATTTTTTGGGACCTGTACTGAGTAAGAACTCGCGGGTGCAAATAAACTCACGAAAATGTCATTATGTGCAAATATCTGACAAGCTACTGCCCTCTTGTGGTCAAACTGAGTGCTCACATCACTTTACTCTAGTCCAGTTATGAAATAAACAGTAACGATTTTAAAAAGAATTATAATTTATTAAAATCTTTGACACTACCTTTAACTATTGAGTCAACAACTTTTCAGGCCACTGTTATCAAAATAGAAAATTGCAAATTGTCTTCGAATAACCCTGTGTATTTTTCTGAATTATTTATTGCATTATTAAGTAATCTTTACTTTTTAATCACCCTCCAGTAGATTTGATGATTGATCATTGGGCTTTTAGAGTGAGAAGGTACACTTTCTCTATCAGTGAATCCAGTAATTATTATTATTATTATAAATTTATTCAGCTTTCTTTGTAGTACTTGCACTGTGTCCACTTAAGAAAACAATGTGTTGATGATTCATTATGCTTGTCACATCTTCTGTTATGCATTTTGAAACAGATTTTTAACACAGGGTTGCATTAATAATAAAGTATGTATAATGCCATTTTCATAAATGTGTTTTTGATTGCCTCCTTGTTATTAGTACTTATCAGTACTTGTTATCAGCCAAATGAAGTACGGAAAATTGTGAACAAACAGGGTAAGGTTTAATGGTAGAGACTCACATGATGTAATTACTTACAATTGTGCAAATGATGTGAGCAAATCAATGGTAGACAAAAACAGAACAAATAAGTGTATAAGTAAATAAAATAAGTTTTTATACTGTAAACAAGATAATCATATATATCCAACGAGGTTGGAGGCAGCGATGCCGGTGGCACTCAACTTTTTGCGTCAGGTAACGTTAGTATGGATCAGTGTTAATTGTTAATCATCATCAGTGACAAATTACATAAATTACGGTTCCTAAAAAAATTTGCTGAGATTATCTCGGTACCGTATCTACTTGGTTTGCATCTGTTTCTCCAGTATGACGATTTAATCGGTCTTTACTGCACGGCTCTGCACACTTTTAGTTCACTGCTCAATGCAACGATACCTTCAAAATGGCGCCTCGGTGACGTCACACATAATAAACGCACGTGACTGACAAAGACCGATTCACCTGTCTTTAAAAAAAAGCTCTGGGCATGTTCAGCCAAAATAGGTTAATCTACATGTAATACGAATCTGCAGCAGTCACTATAAATGTTTGATAAGATTTCAGATCTGTTACCTCACTTTTCCAATTCAGTGACCACCCGAATAACAGCATCTCACATCAAAGTCTTTGCTCACAAGCATCGGTTTCATAACAGGAAGAATTTTTACGTAGTGGGCGTGGCTTCTCATACAACGTCACACGTAGTACTGGCGCTTCCTATCGGGAGCATCCTTTGGTTACTGGATGTCGCTAGGATACCGTGGACGCTCCCAGTTCCGGAGTTTACAGCACTAGTACAGTGAATATATTTTGAGTGAGCTTTGGCAAAACCACTGACTGAAACGGCAGGAAAACATGCTCATGTGTTCGAGACTGTTCTAGAAAACCATTGCAGTACTATGAATATGAACAGACCGAAAGTGACTGAACAAGCAGCCGTCTGCACACTAGTGATTTCCCTCAGTGGTTTCATTATGTGAAAACATTAGAGACATTTGGAGACATTTATTTTATTGCTAAAAAATTATATTATTAAACAATTATTATAGTTATGATGTTTGTGGATCAAACTGTTCCTAACCGGCTTTAAAACATATGATGAATAAAACTTTATTTAATAAATTTCAAAATTTCAGAAGTTATTTTATTGTTGTGCATTTGGAAATGGATCGTCACTATGCATAATTAACTTTTTTAGTATTTTTATTATAAAAAATGCAGATATAATTGTTGCAAGTGTATCCCGGTCAAAGAGATAAATCTGAATATAATTTATATTAAATTATTCTTTTATTATTATTATTATTATTATTATTGTAAATAGCCATTAATATGGTCAAGAGAGAAAAACAAGGTCTTACAGATTTCCCCCTAATAATTGCATGACAGGTAATGATGCCTTCCTCTGAATGTTGGGACTGAAATGACAAAACAAACAGCTTGGAGTTCATAAGGCAAAAAAAAACTGACAGTGGTGCCATGTCCTGTTAACTGATCTTTAAGTCTGTCACTATTTGGTTTGGTTTGGTTTTGAGTGTGTGTGTGTGTGGTTGTATGTGTTTTTCTATCCCGGTGCACGCTGACTCATGGGGACTTGTGTCACCGTGGGGATTTAAATTGAGTTCCCCATGGGGAAACAAGCTTATAAATCATACAGAATGAGTATTTTTGAGAATGTAAAAATGCAGAAGGTTTTCTGTGAGGGGTAGGTTTAGGTGTAGGGTTGGTGTAGGGCTACAGAATATAGCTACGGTTTGTACCGTATAAAAACTATTACGCCTATAGAGAGTCCCCACAAGGATAGTAAATCAGACAAGTGTGTGTGTGTGTGTTTATATATTTATTCATTTTTAAAAAAATTTTCAAAATCGGCAAATTAGGTTTTGTTTGTTTACAGTTTCAAAGCCAAGAAAGAAGTGAAAGAGAATTTAAAAACAAGTACATCTACCAAGAGCAGTTCAGGAAGCAACTGGAGAAGTGGCAAAAGCACTCTGTTTTTTTAACGTTAGCTCATATGTTTGGCAGACATCAGGAAATAATTATGGCTTAATAACTTCTCTCTCCTGGCATGGTGGTCATTATGCAGGACTTTGATGTATTATTCTGAGCAATTGATTTACTCAGTTTCATTTTTCAAAGAAATACTGTGAGACCCACTCAATTGGATGCCTTCAAGACCTCAATAAAATGCTAACAAAAGGAATGTGTAACAATTCAGGATGTTAAATGTAGGTCTGTATACTTTGGTACATAATGAAATCAATATGAAAATTGACTTTTTCCCATAACCAGGATGATTTAATATACATTTAATGTGTTGCAGCGGCAGCAGTATGTTTGCTACAGGAGAACTACATGCTTCCCATTCCTCTACGTTTTATATCTCTGCTAAAGTAAGTTTTTTAATTTTTATTCTATTTTATTTTATTATGTATTTAATTTTTTAATACTATTTGAGGATGACTTTTATATTTTCATACTATTTACTGTTCATTTTTACTTGTATTTACTGATTTCTTCCTATTTATTGTCTAATATATTTACTTAAGTTATATTAAAAGTTAATTTAAAGCTCATTTTTAGTTGCAGTTACATTAGTGCAGCTCTATGATTCTAAATATTTTTTTGCCAAAATATTCACAGCAACCGATTCAAGAGCTGGATCGGTTTCTTGCCAATCTCCTGCTCTACTTTTCTTGCTACTTTGAGAAAAAAGCTCTGGAGGAAAGACCAAAGTCTCTCATGGGGTGAGTTTGAGCCGGGCATGAATTAAGTCATATGAAAATGCAT